GTCTCCCCCCCCTCGCCTTCCCGTGCATGTCCCGCCCAACCGGGGCCTGTGCCCGGTACATTCCCCCCCTCCCCTTCCCCTCTTAGTACATGCCCCGCCTCCCGGCTTGCCCGGTGCGTGTGTGTGTGTGTGTCCGTGTGTCCCCCTCCCCGTGCATGTCCCCCGCCCCGCTCACACGTGCCCTGCCCGGTGCCGCCTTCCACGGCAGGCCCGGGCACACGCCTCCTCCTCCTCCTCCCCTGCCTCCGGCCCTGCCATCTTCCCCACGTGTCCCGCACGGCCGCGGGCCCCGCACACATGCACACGCATGTCCACGCACACGGGCCTGCCCCTGCCTCCCCGTTGCACACACCGTCTCTCGGTGCCCGTGCCCCGGCTTCGAGTCACGCTCCGCCGGCACCGCTCCCAGAAAGCAGCCAGCTCCCGCCTTTTCCTTCCTGGCTGCCCTCGCCGCCGGCACGGCACGGCACGCACTGGCCCACCGGTGCCCGGGGAAGTGGCTCTGCCTTGCTGCCAGCATTCCTGCCCGCGCCCGAAAACGTGGTTTTTTAGGCAGGCGGGGCTTCTCCCCAAAAGCCTTTCCCTCCAGAATTGCCCAGCAGTGGCAAACACCAGCACGGGGGAAATCATAGAATCATATGGGGTTGGAACAGTGGCAAACACCGGCACGGGTGAAATCATAGAATCACATGGGGTTGGAAGGGACCTCCGGAGATCATCTCCTCCAATCCCCCTGGCCAAAGTGGGTCCACCCAGAGCAGGTCGCACAGGAACATGTCCAGGGGGGTTTGGAATGTCTCCAGAGATGGAGACTCCACCACCTCTCTGGGCAGCCTCTTCCAGGGCTCTGCCACCCTCACAGGAAAGAAGTTCCACCTCCCATTAAGGTTCTTCTTATACTTCTTATACTCAAGTTTGTGCCCAAATGGTGGGGCAAGGATTGGGGAGCCCTCCCCGATGCTGCTGGTGGGGATACGGTGGTGGCCCCGCGGTGACACGTCTGGGGGTGGACCCCGAGCGGCGAGCACCGAGGCGGGATTAGGAGGAAGCTCTTTGGGAAGGCGCCTGTTTCGTATTATAGTCTGCGAGGGGTAGGTCGCGGGTGGGTTTTTGGCTCTATCTCAGGGTCAGTAGATACTTGTTGCTTTTTTTTTTTTTAATGCCCAAACTTTGCAAACCGCTCCGTGCGGGTATCTTGTTTCCCAATCACGTGTGCCGATGGGCGCGGGGGGCTGGAGTGCCGTTTGTAAAGGGCTTCAGAACGTTTTGGGATGAGAAAGGGCGTTTAGGAAACAGCAGGCTGGGAGACAAGATGGAAAACTGGGGTTTAGTATCAGTCATTGCAGCGTTTAGGGTCTCTTCTAAGGTGGAATTAGTGGTCTGAGTTGCTGATCCGTGGCATGGTGGTCTGTTTCAGGAGTTAGGCTGGATTTGAGGGAGCCTACCAGCATTTATTCAGAAAAAAAAAGGGAAAAAATGGGGTGTGCTGTAATTGCACGTTCTCTGAGGAGGGGATGTGTGCCGGTGGTCCTGGTTTGCGCAGCACCATGGGGGTAGGAGCTGCCCTTCTCCCAGCAAACCCCAGACAAACAGCTGGGGTGAGCCCTGGGGCACACACCCCACTTTGCCGTGGCCCCCCCACCTTCTCCTCTTGCTAAATGAAGCCTTCCTCGTTTGCCAAATGAGGTGCCTGCTTTCCCAAACCTCCAGCCTGGGCTTCTCTCCGCCGGCAGCGGCGGTAATGCCGGTAGGCACAAGGGCTGACTTTTTTTTTTTTTTTTTTCCCCGGCAAGAGCTGGAAAAACGCCGTCCAAAATACACGCCCGGCATTGAAGCAAGAAATAATTTGGGATCTGTGCCGGCTCTGACCCCTGCGGCGCGTGATTGCTAACAGCTGGGAGGGCTCGCGGCGGCAGCGTGGCCTCCCGGCTCCGCCTGCACCGCTGACGCCCTCCCGGCTCCTTGCTCCTCTTCTTTGCTTTGTGTTTTTGGGGCACGGCCCGGGGGGGAAGGATTTTTCGGCGTTGGCACGTCACCCTGGGCTTACGGGCCGAGCGCCGAAATGGGATCCGGCGTTGGAAGGTCTGCTGGCAGCAGATGCGGCTCTGAAAACCGGCTTTTGGGAGGGTTTTCCTTCCCCCTGGTTGCGAGCGCGCGCCTCTTTCCTCCCTCCCAGGGACCGGAGAGGGGGGAAGGAAAGGAAAGGGAAGGCGAAACGAAACCCCGAAGGAAATGAGAAGCAGCCTCCCACCTTCGGCGCTGCCCTCCCCGCACCTGGCCGCCGGCCAAGCGCTGCCTTCAAACCGGCGTGCGCCCACCCTCGGGGAGGCTGGTGGAGATTGGGCACCGTCTTCTAGGCGGTGGTGGTGGTGGCACCGACGACGCTGCATGGAACTCCCTGAGCCCTTGGAAAGGCAGTTCCCAAACCCCGGCGCCTTGGGATATCAGAGAGTGAGGTTTTAAGGAGGAAACGCGCTCCGGTGGTTAATTCCTGCGGCGGGGTGGAGGGGCTCTGCCACGGCTCTGCTTTGGGGTTTGAGGCAAATCACTGTGTCTGCCCCCCCAGCCCTTTGGGGCTTCTTCTGGATGAGAGAGACCCGTATGGGTGTACAGGAGATTTGGGAGCAGGGCTGCTTGGCCGGGTCACTTGGGTTCAGCAGAAAACATGTTGCGCTGTGGAAAAAAAGACATTATCACAGACAGATGGAGCATCCCCCGGTGATGCCCGCACACTGCGAAGCCTGGTGTGCTCCTTGGGCAGGGTGAGGTGAGACGGAAGCTGGGGAGCAGCTGTGTTTGGCCAGACGCCGCCGCTGCCTCTTTGATCCTTCTCCAGAGGGGAGGTGGCAACCGCAAGGAAGTCCCCGCGCGCCGTGGGACAGGCAGCCCTGGTGTGAGGTGCTCTCCCTGGCACGCCTCTGTCCCTTTGGCATCCCATCCCGCTCTTCCTGCTCAATTCTTTATGGCTCTGAAGTAGCTGTTAATTTTCTACTCGGGAACGGCTGAATTTTGGGGGAGGACAGAGTAAGCCGAGTGCCTTCGGTTATTCATAAAACTGCTTGTAAATCTTGGGCGTCCTTTGAAGCGGGACGTGGTTTGGAGTAACTCTTCCCGGGGCGGTTGGAGGTTGAGAGGAGGGGCGAGCTCCCCTCCTCTTCCTCAGGAAACTTTCCTCATCTGAGACAGTGTGCAAGGCGGCGCTGCGTTAAGTCAGATGTCAAAAAGAAATATATTTGATCTGCTGTTAAAATGCCACCACTTCATGATGGGGAACCGAGCGTCTCTTGCAGCAACCCTGCGTGAGGAGGGGAGGATCTGGGCACAAGTGCCTGGCAGCTTGGGGTTAATCCTCCCTCTTGCACAAGCAGCAGCTCCTCAGACTTGGACTTTCCGTGGCCCAGGTTACGCTCCAACCCAGACACCTGACAAACACCCAGCTGGCTGGGTGACAGTTGCTGACAAGCCCAGGCAGGGTGGCAAAGGTGACAGGTTTGTTGGAGGTGCAAAAGCACGTGGCGTTTTTGGTGTGCCCCAAAACACAGGGCTGCACTGAGCCTTTTGCTTCCTCTCCCTCCTCCCAAATCCCAGGCACTGTCACCTTTCCCCCTCACCACGGTGTGCATCCTGGCTTCCCGTGCTCCTCGGGGAGGGTGTTGCAGCGGAGGAGACTTTGGGAGAAGGTTGGGATGGAGGAGGACAGCGAATTCTGCTGGAGCTGTCGGATTGATTGGGGCTGTATGCGTCGTCTGTCCCTGTTCCCAGGTGTCCTTTGCTTTTAAGGAAACCTCTAAACGCTTGTTTCTTTTAAAACAGCAGTAAAATCTGCAAACCTGAGCAAACGAGCCAGGCAGGCTGCTCTCTGGGTAGGCTTGCTAGCAGAATCACACCAACTTGAGGAAAACCTATGTCAGAGGAAAAGGAAGCTATTTTAGGGTTAAAACCAGGTTAAAGATAGTTACAGAGAAACAGTTCAGGATAAAAATGCACCAAATTTCCTTTTTTTAACAAAGCAGAGCAGGAGGATGTTCCTGTGCTGTTGCAAGACCGAGCCTGGGAGTGCTGGGCATGAGCTGTGAGCTTGGAGAAACCTCTCCTCGAAGCATGAGAGCTCCCAAAAAAGGGAGCACCGGTGTGCAGGCTGAGGAGGAGCGCTGGCTCGTGCTGCCAGAGAGCTTTCCTTCCCTGCCGGGGCACGGGCAAGGGAGTTGCAGGACTGTCCTGGGCACGGACCCAAGTCTAGAGGTCAAGGTTGAAGAGCACCGACGGCGGGTTTCAGCGTGACAGGCGGGAATAGCCACAGTGGCCTCGGGAGCGTGCACTGGGGACAGCTTAAGGGGGGGGCATGGTCTCCAAGGGCTGTCCCAACTGTGTCTGCAGGGTTTCCTTTGGGCTAGCTCATCCGTGTTTGTTTTTTTTTTTTCCCTGAGAGGTTTAGAAATGATGGTAAAGAGCTGCAGGGCAGGGAGAGCTCGGGCACACCGCTGTCCTCGTGTCCCCGAGATGACAGGCTGAGGGAGCTGGGGTTGTTCAGCCTGGAGAAGAGGAGGCTCCGGGGAGACCTAATAGCAGCCTTCCAGTACCTGAAGGGAGCCTACAGGAAGGCTGGGGAGACCCTGTTTAGAAAGGCCTGCAGTGACAGGACGAGGGGCAATGGCTTCAAGCTGGAGGGGAACAGATTTAGACTGGAGATGAGGAGAGGGTTCTTCACTGTGAGGGTGGTGGAGCACTGGAACAGGTTGCCCAGGGAGGTGGTTGAGGCCCCTTCCCTGGAGATATTCAAGGAGAGGCTCGATGAGGCCCTGGGCAACCTGGTCTAGTTGGGGGTGTCCCTGCTGACTGCGGGGGGGTCGGACTAGATGGCCTTTGGAGGTCCCTTCCGGCCTGGGCGATTCTATGACTCTATGATTCTATGTCTCAGCACCTGTGGCTGAGCCCCTGAGCCAGCACATGGGGATGCTGGAGCAGCAGAAAGCTGCTTTCCTGGCTCCCAGGGTGGTGGTGGTGGTGGGGAGACACTGATTGAACGTCACAGTCCCACACTGAAGGTAACATCCCTGTGTCTTTCTCTTCCGCAGCGTGTCCGAGATGGCGAGCGTGCTGTCCAGGCGCCTGGGGAAGCGCTCCCTGCTTGGCACCCGTGTCTCTGCCCCCAGCGCCTTGGCCGAGGGGATGCTGGTGCCCACCCAGATCCCCGGCTTGCAGACTGACCTCGGGCAGGGGTCTGCCCACACGGCGCTGCGAGAGGACGGGTCCTGTGTGCCATCGGTGGAAGAGAGCAGCCAGGGACCCAGGTTTCCCAGCCCTGGCTGCCAGCAGCTCTGCGCCGGGCAACAAGTAAGCAAGGAGGCTCTTGGTGTCCCTTGGCTGGTGGGATGTGCTCCGATGGGGGAGAAAACTCCTGGGGATCTCCTAATGTAAGCTGCAGTGAGGATCTGTAATTACAAGAGTCGTTAATGGGTGTTGGCATTAGTGCACTTGGCTGTCCCTGATGGGTTTGGACCGTACCAGCTCAAGCAGAGATCCATCTCCTCCTGGAGATGTCTCCAGTCTTAGCCAAAAGTGGGTCTCCAGAGAAGAGGGTAAGAAGAGCTGACACTTCTCCAACTGTCTGAGGCTAAGGGGGATAGTTTCTGTACATTTTGTGACTCCCAGTGGGTTTCTCTTCCATGAACTTGTCCTATTTCCCCATAACTCACGTCAACATCTAAAGTCAAGTGGCAAGGAGCCCTCAGCTTAGCCACAGTGGTGATGAGCCTTATGGCTTTGCCTGTGGCACCTTTTTGCTGCGGGGTTGAGGGCTGATGGTGCAGACATAACGTGCTGAAGAAGCTCTTAGGGAAGAGTGAGATGGGATGGCTCATCCAGAAAGGACATCTAGTCCCGCTGGACCCCACCGTTTCTTGTGCCCTGGGCTCCTGATGGTTAGGAGGTCCGTGACTTGGCCAAGATGCTGCCTGGAGCAGGGAACAGTGCTTGTTCTCGAGCCCACCGGAACGGTTCCTGCTAATGCCTGGCTGAGCAGCACTGTCTGAGGGGAGCTGTGAGCTGCTGACGTAGAGCCCCTTTCTTGGCTGCTACCTGCAGAACTGTAAAACTTTTTCTGGGCAGAGCTTGTGAAATGGAGTGTAAATAAGGCCCCTGTTCAGTTTTCTGGCTCCTCCTGCCCCATGTTTATTAACCACAGGACAGGGAGAGTTGTTTTCTCCTACGTGCTCTGCTGTGGATGCTTCTGCTTGCTTCCTTTGCTGCTGGGAACAGCATAAAAATAGAGATGAGAGGTGCCTTCACCTCCCAGCAACAGCCAGGACTTGTGCCGGTGGCTGTGCAAAGCTGAAGGAGATGTTGGCTCCTCTTGCTGGGTGCAGGCTTGGGGACGGCCCATGGGGTTCACGGGGAAACCTTACTCCTTGTTTTCAGAAGGTGGAGTCAGGGTCTTCTGTGTCCTGATCCTTCCACTGATCTCCTAAACCCTTGACCTGCCATAGGTGGCTTTATCCACCCTGGTGTTTCTGCTCAAGGTCCTACCTGAGATGGTCTCCCAGGCTTCTCCCCGCTCAGGATATGGTTGTGCATGTGTCCATCCTGTATCGGTTTCTTGGTGTGACACCCGTGGCCCTTCCATAAAGAGATGTTCCTGTTCCTATAAATAGCTGGAGACACATGTAGCGTCTTTGGACACAGATACCTTTCCATTAGCAGAAGTAGGCTCCTGGGTGGTAGTGGTGGAAAACTGCCCATCAGGAGGAGTTTGGGACTCTGAAGGAGGTGGTGAGGTTGGCACATCTCCTTCTCCTGCCTGATGTGAATTCACGCAGGATCGTTTCACCAAAGAAACCTCTGTTCCCCGTCCCTCTCCGGCTTTAATCCATTCATCTCCGTGCTTTGCCAGGAGGTGTAATAATTGTGGGAGCCCTTGCAGCAGGAGGGTGTGAGAACTGAGCCAAAGCAAACAAATCCATTGGAGAAAAGTCCACCCAAAGTCACGATACTTGGAGGCAGCTGATACTGGTTCAGAAAATCCCTCAATGTGGGGGGATTGTGCCTGGGAAGAGCGGATCCCTTGGTGGTGGGGTTGGGATGAACCCTGGCCACCCCTCAGGTTTGCTGTGACAGCAGTCTGAAGTCCAAGCCCTTCAGGACAGGCTCTGCCTTTGTCCTAAAGTCCTCTGTGGCCCTTTCTGCTGGGGGAGGAGGAGGTGGGGGGCGGTTCTGTGGTGGGTGAAGGCGGACTTGTGCTGCGACAGGACATCCCCTGAGAGTGGTGCTGAAAATAACCTCCTTGTACCGTTTTCAGGTCCTTGTCACCTACAACGGGCAGGAGTGTGCTGGCCTCGTGGAGCAGCACAACCCGCTGAGCGAGAAGGTGAAGGTGCTGCTGCCGGAGCAGGGCTTGCAGGCGTGCTGGAGGGTGCAGGACGTGCGGCCGGCCGCGCTCCAGCCCCCAGCCCTGCCTGCCGCCGGCGGCCCCGGCCCTGCCGAGGCGCTCCAGAGATCCGTATCCAGCAATATCGATGTACCCAAGAGGTTCGTGCCTTTGGCTTGTGGCATCTCATTCCGGGGGGGAGAGAGGGGCTCTTGGCAGCTCCAGCAGCACTGGCACTTGGTTTTACACCGATTGAAAAGGGCGGTGATGCTGGGGATATATCCGCCTGCCCAGCACGGGATTATCCGGAGGATGGTTAAATTTAGGATTAAGGGGATTTTTAATTTATTTTTTCCTCCAAATGGGGAGAAAACATCCTTCCCAATGACTTAAAAATGACTGAAAGTCTACAGAGGGAGGGGGTGAGGGGGAACCTGTGCAGCTGCTACAGTTTGTGCTGCCCTTTGGGTGCCGGGTGACTCCCCTGGTTGTACCCGGGTTCTCTCTCTGCTTTTTCCTCCACGAATTTCACATCTCTCCCCCATCGTGGTGCAGGAAAGCTGATGCTGCTGTGGAGATGGACGAGATGGTGGCAGCCATGGTGCTGACGAGCCTCTCCTGCAGCCCCGTGGTGCAGAGCCCTCCCGCCGGCGAGAGCGGCATCCACCGTGAGTGTGCATTTCAAATATACATATATATTTGTGAAAAAAAACACCTCGAAACGGAAGAAGATGTGGAGAAATGTGCTGGATCTCAGCGCCAGGGCTCTTGCTTGCGGCAGAGTTGCTTTGCTGGGTGCAAATAGAATCATAGAATTGTCTAGGTTGGAAGAGACCCTTGGGATCATCGAGTCCAACCATCTCCCCTACTCTACAAAGTCCTCCCCTACACCATGTCCCTCAGCACTGCATCTAAACGGCCCTTAAACACATCCAGGGATGGGGACTCCACCCCCTCCCTGGGCAGCCTGTTCCAATGCCCGACCACTCTTTCTGTGAAAAATTCTTTCCTAATGTTCAGTCTAAACCTCCCCTGTCGGAGCTTGAAGCCATTCCCTCTCGTTCTGTCACTAATTACCTGTGAGAAGAGACCAGCACCAACCTCTCTGCCAGGACAGGGATCGTGCTGGGCTGGAGGTGGCTTGGGGAGTGACAGCAGGGTCGTGGTGGAGCCCGTGGGTGCTGGGTGGGGGCGAGCAAGTCGGGACAGCCCTGGCAGCACCGTGAGGGTAACCCTACTCTCTACAGCCGTCCCCGGGGGCCGGGGAGCCCCGTGCAGGAGTCCCAAGCTGGGGGGCACCGCCTGGTCGCTGCTCCTTTTTTTAGAGGCAATTTCATTCCCGAGGAGTCAAATGCAGCCAGAGGGATAAAAATAGCCTCCCAGAGCCGTGGGAAATGTGCGTGCCCCGGGGCTGGCTGCTCGCCGTGTGCCGGCTGTGCCCACGGGACTGCACTGATGCCAAGGAGGATGGGGAGGGGGTGGAAAAAAAGGGATAAAGTGACCAATAATTGGGAGCTGGCACTGAGCAAAGGTGCAAAGGCTTCACCTTGCCAAGTTTTTTTAAAAAAATAAAAGGGAGACGAACTGTTGTCACGGGTTATCCAGGCTCAGGGCTGGTCTCTGCCCTGGAGAGGGGGTTTGGTTGGCCCCAAGCTGAGGGTGACAGTGTGTGTCCTCTCCTGCAGCCTCACGGGTGGCCTGTGATCCCTGGAAGGAGAGCGGTGACGTCTCGGACAGCGGGAGCAGCACCACCAGCGGGCACTGGAGCGGGGGCAGTGACATCTCCACCCCGTCACCCCCCCACCCCGCAGGCAGCCCCAAGTACTCCATCGAGGCCCTGAGCTCCCCCCAAGTGGACGATGGCTTCGAGACCGACTCCGACCCCTTTCTCCTCGACGAACCCGCTCCACGCAAGAGAAAGGTAGTGCTGCCTGTGGTGGGGGGGGGGTCCCAGTGCTGGTGGGGTGGCTCAGGCTGAGCCAGCGTCCTGTGGAGGGGACTCAGCCACCAGGCAGGGGGTGACACAGGCCATCTCTCCTCCAGAACTCGGTGAAGGTGATGTACAAGTGCCTGTGGCCGAGCTGTGGCAAGGTCCTGCGCTCCATCGTCGGCATCAAGCGTCACGTCAAGACCCAGCACCTCGGGTAAGAGGGAAGATTTTGCCACCTCAATTCCTGCATGCTCTCCCACTGCGGAATTCGTAATTCCTGCAGCGAATATCCCCAGTATTAAAGATACTGTCCTCTGTGCCCTGAGCTTGGCAGTTCTCAGCCAAGCGGTCCGTGTCACCCAAGCCACTGTTGTAGTGTCCCCCCCCTTCAGGGAGCCCAGGGCTTTCCGGGAGTCACGGGAGCCCCGTTTGGGCTTCTGTTCTGCCCAGCCCGGGGGGGTGTTTTGCACCGGGGGAGTTCAAGTTACATGTGAGCCCTGGGCAGAGGCAGAAAAGCACCAGCCTGGCTGGGTTTCTGCGGCGGTGGCCAGCCCCAGCTCAGCTGTCGGGGCTGGCATGGGCACCTGCGTGCCAGTCTGGTGGTGGCCACCCCTTTGGCAGTTTGCTTTGCTTTGGAGTCCTGATCTCCTGTGAATTCCCCCCCAAATACACAGTGGTGTGGGTGTGTGGATCAGCTTTGCTGTGCTTTCCTCCTGTGGCCCCGTCGCATTTCTCACCCCAACCTCAGGTTTTTTTCTTGCTTTTGTCCCTGTTTTCTGGTATGTATTTTTCTCCTCCTCACTTGCAAACGTGATGAATTCTCCGGGAAGGGCAAGGCCAGAAGGGCTGTGGTGCAGTGGGCAGTGCTGGACTGCCATCCAGTGCCGGATAAATGCACTGGGGAAATAATAAAACAAGACATCAGGGGCTGTTTCCTGCTGGGTGAACCGCAGGCCTTGGGTGGCAGCTGTGCTAAATGAAGTCGATTTAGAAATGAGCAGGGGATTTTCAGTGGTGCCCGGTCAATGTGCCAGTGCTTTTAAAGGCCCTGGAAAGAGGTATTGATCTTCCTTGGAAGCGGGAAGTGCTGCTGCAGAGGCAGTTGGCTGTCGCTGATCACAGCCGACGTGATGCTTCGTAGCTTGGGAATGGATCAGGAGGGCAGGATGACTCTCCCTCGGGGAACTCGGGGGGCACTCACCTTCTCGGTGGTGGAAACGGGGCTGCCTTTTCACCCCTTATCCTCTTTTTCTTCCTGGCAGGGACAGCGCAGACTCCGACCAGCGGAAGCGGGAGGAGGATTTCTACTACACTGAAGTGCAGGTGAAGGAAGAGCCAGCGCCGGAGGCGGCTGCTTCTGCTGCCAGCCCCACGTCTGCCTCCGCTCCCATCATCATCCAGCAAGCCCTGGCCAAGCCGGAGGCGCTGCTGGTGGAGCAGCCAGCGCTGGAGCCCGCCCTGGCCAGCAGCGCCCTCAGCCAGTCTGCCCCCAGCTCCTTCTGGCACATCCAGGCTGATCACGCCTACCAGGTGAGCTGGTGGCATCTCCCCAGGGATGGGTCACCTCCCAAAATCTTGCCAAAGGGCAGGTTATTGTCCGGTTTGCTCCACGAGTGCCCACAGGGACGTTTCATTGCCAGCCCTGTGGCTCGGAGAGGGTTTGGTGCTGATGTAGCACCGTTCCCTGCCTGGCTGCCCTTCAGATCCTGAGCAACCAGCTTCCTTAACGCCTGGTTAAGGGGCTTGTGGGCTTCTCCTGTGGCTGTTCCTGGGCTGGGGGGGAGCTGCTGGCCTCCTCTCCCCTGCAATTACCCGCTGCTGGTATGCAACACGCCCTCCTGCCGGCAGATAATGTGGGGCTGGAATGCAGCCCTGCCGGATCCTGCACGGCTCCGCTGCACGCTCGCCTGGGCACAGGCTTCTGAGGCACAGGAAACTTGGGCATCTGGAGTTGTGGCCCCGTGGGCACCCTGGGCCCATGGCACTTGTCACAGGGGCCACTTGGGAGCCCAGCACTGTTGTAGAGCTGTGAGCTAGTGCAGGGACAGGGTGTATAGATCCATCAGCTGCACATGTATCCATTCCCATCCCAGGGAATGGGTGCAGCATCTAAAAGCAGGAAGCCCACGTGCAGAGGTGCAAAAATAGAATCATAGAATTGCCCAGGCCGGAAGGGACCTCCAAAGGCCATCTAGTCCGACCCCCCCACAGTCAGCAGGGACACCCCCAACTAGACCAGGTTGCCCAGGGCCTCGTCGAGCCTCACCTTGAATATCTCCAGGGAAGGGGCCTCAACCACCTCCCTGGGCAACCTGTTCCAGTGCTCCACCACCCTCACAGTGAAGAACCCCCTCCTAATCTCCAGTCTAAATCTGTTCCCCTCCAGCTTGAAGCCATTGCCCCTCGTCCTGTCACTGCAGGCCTTTCTAAACAGGTTCTCCCCAGCCTTCCTGTAGGCTCCCTTCAGGTACTGGAAGGTACATCTACACCTGGAGTGGTGCATGTGGTTTGTTGCAACCAAAAGCTGTTGCCAGAGTGAGTGCTTTTCCCCGACAAAGGGTGACACAAGGTGTCATCTGTGCCCTGTGTTAGCTGGATATGGCACTGGAGGAGAGGTAGCACAGGAATTCCCATCCCACCACTGGTGCTCCCAGTTTGTGGGCGCTCCAGATTGGTCTTTGCAGGGAGGTGGGGTGGCATGTGGGAACGGAGTGCCCCTGGGGCTTGTGCTGACCCCTCTTTTCCCCCACAGGCGTTGCCCTCCATCCAAATTCCGGTGTCGCCCCACATCTTCACCAGCATCAGCTGGGCCACTGCCACCTCGACTCTCCCGTCCCTGTCACCGGTGAGTCCCGCATGCGTTTCCCCTTGGTCCTTTTGGGGTGTGGGGTTGGACTGGGAGGTATGGGGAGGTTATGTTTGCTCTCATTCCCCACTTCAGATGTCCAGATTCGTGGGCTGGGGACATCTGTGTCTCCTGCTGCTCTGTCACAGCACCTGGACCCTCTGCAGGAGGGGGGACCGTGTTGTCCCACCCCCCCTTTGACACCCCGTTCCCCGCAGGTGCGGAGCCGGTCGCTCAGCTTCAGCGAACCCCAGCCACCGACGCCGATGCTCAAGTCCCACCTGATCGTCGCCTCGCCGCCCAGGGTGTCCATCGGCACCAGGTGAGGCTCTCAGCAGTTGGAGGGGAGCTGAGGTGCAGCCCCTCAAAGAACAGGGTGCAGAGATGATGCTCAGCCATGGTTATGGAGCCTTACCCTTAGATACAGAATCACAGAATCTTCTAGGTTGGAAGGGACCTCAAAGATCATCTTGTCCAACCGTCAACCCAACTGACAAAAATAGACACCCACACAACAAACAAGGAGCATCATCCCTAAACCAGACCTCCCAGCACTACATCAACCCGTCTTTTGAACACCTCCAGGGATGGGGCCTCAACCACCTCCCTGGGCAGCCCATTCCAATGGCTGAGAACCCTTTCAGTGAAAAAATTTTTCCTAATATCCTGAACCCCCCCTGGCGCAACTTGAGGCCATTTCCTCTCGTCCTGTCACCTGTGACTTGAGAAAAGAGACCGACCCCTGAAGCTCTGCAACGAGGGGATAAATGTTATTATTTTTTCTCTCCCCCCCTTCTGCAGGAAAGTCCGCGGAGAAGCCAAAAAGTGCCGTAAGGTGTACGGCATCGAGCACCGGGACCAGTGGTGCACGGCCTGCCGGTGGAAAAAAGCCTGCCAGCGCTTCCTGGACTGAGCGCAGCACCGCGGTGCCGCGTCCCCTCCCCTGCTCCTGCCCGGGGAGCACCGGAGGCCCTCACTGCTGCAACCAGGGACCTTGGAGGTACCTCCTGTCACCCCAGAAGACGCCTCCAGAGCTGCGTGTAAATTCCTCCTTCTGTATATTGTACATCTGCTGGGTTTGCTCTTTTTTTTTTTTTTTAATTCCTGATGAGTCTTTTTTATTTTTTCCTAATTTTTTTTTTTTTTTAAAAAATCCCCAAACCTGAAGAATATCTCCCTTTGTACGGTAAAAGCTGGGGCTGGGAGGGGAAAGAAGCCACTTCCTCGGGCTTTGGGGGGAGGTTGTGGGCCATCTGGGGACCAAAGAGCTTCCTGCATTTCCCAGATCAGCCCTAAAACCTCCTGGGGTGAGGCGTCCAGGCAGCACCCCCTGGCCTTTGACTACCTAAAAAGTGCAAATCCCTGGTGTCCTGTGAGGGAGGGGAACGGGTGACCATTATAGCTTTAAAAGAAGGAAATGCTGTTGGGTTGCTGCAAGGCAGGAGCAGCTCTCGGGGTGGGAGCTGGAGGTTTCTCTCCTGGTGTGGACGTGGCCGTTGCTCTTGTCGTGTCACACCGGTAGCTCGAGCCTGTGTGTGCCTCTGGTCACTTCCAGCCTGTCATTTTTGGAGGCATTTGAGGTGGGGGGCGGAAAACCCACCCAAAACACTTTAATCAGGAAAAACTCTGAGAATTTTTAAGGCGAAATCTGGTGTTCCGTCTCACTTTAGGCTTCGTGAGTCTGCTTAGATCCGTGTAAAATCTACATTGTGGCCCTCGCCGTGTCTTTCAAAACTAGGCTGAGCAATTTGGGTTTTTTTTTTTTATTTAATAATACCACCAGTGAAGGCAGCTGGGAGGACTGGGAAGGGCTTTCCCTTAGCATCACCATATGGCTCTGAATCGGCAAAACACTTCAATATTTGCTTCCGAATCCCATCGAGCTGGCTGGGAGTCAGTTTTGACTTCTGTCCTTTAAAAAAAAACAACCAAAACCCAAAACATATATATATTTACAGCTCTCCCACCCCCAGCAGCATTGTGCTTGGTGCAGGGCTGGGATGTGAGGAGCCACATTGCCCCGTCGCCCTTCTCCCCTCTCTGGAGCAGGAAGCCATTTGGCTTTTTGCATTTTATATATATACATATTTTTTTTTTGCTGCTTTTTTGATAATCATAGGCCATAACCTGCAGCCGTCGCGCCGAGAGCAATCCCTGCACGTGGTGGGGGGGTGTTTAAGGACTTAATTTTCCTTATAAAAGCAAATCAAGTGGCTGGGGGAGTCAGACACCAGCTGGCCAAGCGGGTTGAGATACGTATCTGTGTGTTACTGGTGCTTGTCGATGTGTTTAGGTATATTTTGTTGTCGTTGTTGGTTGTTTTTGTAATTTTTTTTTACATAGAAACAGTTCATCGTCCCGTAACCTGAGCTTCTCTCCCGTATCCAACTGGTGGATGCAAAATTTGGCAGCTGGAAAACGGGAGCAAAACTGCGACCCCGGGTGGGTCCGGCTCAAATCCTGGGAGAGAGAAAAGATTTTTTTTTTTTAATTTTTTTTTTTTTTGCTCCTTGAGACTTGCTGAAGTCTAGTTTTTCCATTAAAATGTCGGGAAAAGCCTTTTCCTCCCCTCTCAGGGGGAGGGGGCTCTGATTCCACCGTGGGCTTGTTGCACTACTCAAAAACTAGATTTATTTTTGCTATCGGTATGATGCTGGAGATGTTGGTGGCCCTCCAGAAGCTGCTTCTTTGGGAAGTCCCACACAGCACCTGGCTTGCATCTCCATTTCCCAAATATTTTTTGTTAAAAGCAGGGCTCAAAGCAGAACAGAAGGGGGAAAAAAAAAAAAAAAAAGAAAAAAATTTATAAGAGGGTGAATCTGTGCTTTCCTCAGACCTTGTGCCTTTGTCCCCACGACTCAGACCCAGGCAGGACTGGAGATTTTTATTCCTTCTTGCTTTTTCTGCCCCAAAAATCACTCAGGAAATGTCAAACAAGCCATCTGGGGTCGGCATTCAGGGTCTGTCCCCCCCCCCAAAATTGGCATTGGGTACCCCCGGCCCTTCCCAGCACAGATCAGGGTTTTCACTGGAGGGAGCTCAGGAGTCGGAAAACTAAA